ACCTCCAAATTCCTGTTGATAATGAGTATTCAACAAACAATCCCCCTACTCCTTCCATGTCCTTGTCCTAGCTGCTATTAGTTGTGGTTACCTCCTTGGCCCATGAGAGCATCTGATCCCATTCCTTTGGCCAAGGTAGTAGGACAGGCTTCAAGATGGCACTCAACAACAATTATCATGCCCTTATGCAGTTTCCTCCAATAGTGAAAAGGGTTGCTGTGTGACTTTGTCACCATAGACATTGCAGCTTCTGCCCTGCTCTTTCTTGGCTCACTCAATCTGCAGGAGCTAGCACTAGGTCTTGAGGGCCTAGTGGCCCTAGTGGCCTTTCCTGTGGAAAGGCCCATGTGGCAGGGAACTATAGGCTCCTGCCAATAGCCAGCACTATCCTGACTGTGACTTCATGAGAGACCCTGAGCCAGAACCACCCAGCTAAGCTGCTCTGGAATTCAAAAACTCCATATCGCTTTTTTTAAAAAATATTTTTTAGTTGTAATTGGACATAATACCTTTATTTTATGCATTTCTATGTGGTGCTGAGGATTGAACCCAGGGCTTTGCCCGTGCTAAACAAGCACTCTACTGCTGAGCCATAACCTCAGCCCCTCCATTTTACTTTTTAAGGTGCTACATTTGGGAATAATCTTTCATATACCAATAGAAGCCAACAAAGCCACTGTTTCCTTGACCTCTTTAATGTTAAAATAGGGCAGTGCCTTTATTTCAGAATTAGAGCCACAGAATTTTAGAAAGCTCAAAGGACCACAGTCAAGTTTGCACTGGGTAGGAAAATTTCTATTTCTGGTTAGAAAATTTTAACTCCCATTCAACTTCTGTTAAGTTCTTTTTTATTCTTTTATTTTTTTTTGCAGTGCTAGGGGTTGAACCCAGGGTCTCATGCATACCAGGCAGGTGCTCTACCACTGGATCTATATCCCCAGCCCTGTAGGGGCTTTTAATCTCAAGTCATCTCTTCCTCAGCATTTCCATCACTATCATCCTCTTCTGGTTGCTATCCTGCTGATTTGCTGGTGTTTTTTTGCTTCCTAATTGGAGTTTCCTTCAAAGCTCTGTCCTTGAAATGTGCTTTTCTTAAGTACTGCCTGAAAAACTGATAGTGCACAGGTACCACTCAAAAAAATGAGGTAATTAGGGAGAGAAGAGGAGAGGAGCTGGTTTTGAGAGCAAAGAGGTGATAAAGAATTCAAGTGCTAGACAACCTACAGTAGTTGAGATGCCCAGAGGTCAAGATGTTCATCAGGTCTTCTTTAGCAAGGTTGATTTGTAAGCTAAGGCGAGGCCCTGAGTGGAGGAATTCACAGAAAAACACAGGGCAGTTCTTGAACTAAAACTTAAGGTCACTTTTAATTCAATCTCATCTTTACCAAGATCTATCAGAATCTTGGGAATTTCTCATGGATTCCCATGGTCATTACTATAGTCAGACTAATTAATGTTTGTTCTAATTAAGGGGATAAAATGACTAGATACATGAGCAACAGTCTGAAAACAGCTATCATAAAGAGAATTTAGTATATAATCAAGTTTAAATATTTCACAAAATTAACCTCGTATACTTAATAACATAACATTGCTTTTATGCTGCATATTTAGAAGAAAAAAAAAGTCCATAAATTATAACTCTTTTAGAGACCCAAACTCAATTTTCACAACTTTTCTGTTCTTAACACCAGGTAGGCTTTCCCCTTAATATATTCTATCATTTACTATATACATTATAACACTGTCATTCCTTTTTCTAAGTTTTATGATTGTCCTAGTTGGCAGTAAACTTTCTGTCCTCCCAAATTATGTTTTATTGCAGTGAAATTTATATAAAATGAAACTTACAAATCTTAATACACTTTTAATCTATTTTTGTAAACGTATATACCCACATAACCCAGTTAAGTTACAAATGTTAACACCATTCCAGAAAGTTCCCTTTAAATCAATTACCCTCTCTCACAGGGATCCCTTATTCAAATTTGTATATCCACAGATGAGTTTGGTCTGTCTTTGAACTTCTCATAATAGAATTACAGTGCATATTCTTATATGCCTGACTTCCTTTCACTCAACATATTTTTGAGAGATTGATCTATTTTATTGTCAACAATGAGTTTATCAATGGTTCTCCTTCCTTCCTTCCCTCCCTCCCTCCTTTCCTCCCTCGGGATCAAACCTAAGGCACCATTCTTATTGYTCAGAATGTTACATTGCCATGCAATTCACCAATACATTTTAAGGACCTTTGCCTTTGCATTTTGGATTGTAAGGTCTGGCAGAGTACCTTGCACATAGTAAGTGCTCAATAAATACTAGCTAAGCAAATACATGTTTCCTTACTACCACAACTATATGCATGTTTATTATAAGGTAGATCCTGGATCTTAATTCCAAAGTAAGGTCAGCAGAAACTCTACTGGTCTTCTTTTTGAAAAGATCCTTAACAAAACTTAAATGCTACCCCTTGCTCCATACCTGGCAGGAACATTATTAATAGAACAATAATTGAATATTAAAGGTGTGCCAGGCACTGGTTTAAGCATTTCTCGTGTACTAATACATTTAATCCTCACAACAACTTATGGTAGAGGTACTATTATTATCACCATTTTTCATATGAGAAAATTGGATTTAAAAAGGAATAAACAACTTGCCACAGAGCCCGAAAATGGTAGCATTTAAGAGTCAGGATCTACATTCAGGACATCTAGCTTCAAGCTTGTACCACTAGCCTCTAATATCCTGCATATAGGCGGCTGAAATTCTCCATCATGAGAGTAAGAGGTAATGCCTCCACATAGCTAATACGTGTGTTGGTGCTCAGAAAATGATACCTCAAATTATGGTGTTTGACATGCTAAGTACTTTGAAGTGAAGAAGCAGCTTCAAAGTCTCTTGTGACCTCCATTCTCCATACTGGTTCTATTTCTCTCTAGAAGCAAAGGGAGTGGCTGTCTCTTAGGTTCCCTCATCCCACTATGGAAAGTTCTTAAACAAGGAATGCAGTTGTCTCAGTTGCCCTACCTACAATCTCATCTTACAAAGAAAATTCTGTGGAAAGAAGACTAGAGTTGATACCACACCCAGAGCCCAGAAGAACTTTGTCCTGGGATACTACTGTCTGTTCTTCATGATAATTCAYTTCCTCTAAAAATCATTTCCTTTTCCTCTAAAATTGCCTATGTCTCCCCCTCCCTTCCCTATGAATAGGATATTTAAGCTTCTAAAACCTCATTAAGTTATTGAATACTCATTTCCCTATTCTCTCCCACAAAATAAATTTTATATGCCTTTCCTTCTGTTCACCTAGTGTTTGTTTCAGCAGAAGGGAAGTTCCCTTTGCCCCTACAAGTAAATTTAGGAAGATCCTAATCAATGATGTTGGCAAATAGTGTATAACAAACGTGGGAAGTAAGAATTCTACTACGGAACCACCATGTGCAAATAGAGTATAATGCAACTCATCCCTAGATTATCTGGTGTCTTTCATTCTTGGAGAATGGAAAACTAGTTCCATTTAAGGTTTCTAAATCTTCTTTAGGAGTCTTTCCTAACCTTGGCCACCTTCACTTGGGAATGTTTTTCAGAAGTAGAGCAGTTCATCTTGTTCAAACTCAGTTTCATTAAAGCATAAATGAGTACTGAGTCATCCAACATATAAGTTGTTTCATTTAACAGAGCTTGAACAAATAAAAAGCTGTACACTTACTTCTTAGGAAGTCTAGGAGGGTCCACCTGAGGTTTACRCAGAAATGGGGTGGCACCATATGAATTCCTTAAGTTACCGTAGTCAAATTACTTAACTCTGGTGTCAGTTTCCTCAATTATAGAATGAAAGGGTTTTACTGAAATAAATTCTAAAATGCTATGTGGTTCTTCTCTTACCAAAGGCCAAATCTATCTTCAACAAAAGGTGTCAAACCAATCCCCTAAAGGTGCCCCTTTCTTCATGTTACTCCCAYATTGAAGAATCCAAACGATTCCCTAAGGCATCTTACATAATCTTTTATTTCTTGTCAAGTTTTCAAGACATCCATTAAAGGGCTTCACTTACCTAACTACCCTCATTTTATTGTGGTGCTGGGGATCTAAACCCACAGCCCCTCACACACAAAGCTCTAGCACGGAGCTACACACCCAGCCTCAACCACCTACTCTTATTTCCAGCTGTTATTCACTAGAGTGGTGCTCTACTCAGGCTGGTCTCCCCACTGTTTCCTTTTCACACGACAGAACTCCCACCCGTAAAGCTTTTGTTCTTATTATCTCCTACGACAGATCTAGCCAGAAATTTTAAGTTCCCCCTAGAGGTTAATCAAGGACTTCATTGAGGTCACGATTCTTTCCAAGGAAGCTTTTCCAGATTTCTTTTAATTGTCCTTTTCTTCAATCAACACCGATGAACTAAATCTTTGCAAGAGGCAAAAACAGCGAGAGTTCAAACTCCCATGGAAATTATTCCACATGTGCCTACGCTGATCGTGGTCGGGCACCGGTGCGCTAACAGTTTCCCTGAACACTTCATCTGAGGCAAGAGCCAGGCACTGATGGGCTCCTGTATCCCCCATTGCACATAGGACCGCGTGGGCCACAGAGCCGAGCCCCACGCGCTGTTGGCCCTAATACACTGCTTGGGCCCGCAGCGGGGCCGGGAGGGCAGGTGCAGGCACCAGGTGTGAAGTCATCCAGGTGACGCAGGGCCGGCCCACTCAGCGCCAGGGACCCGGCCACCTCTTCCAGAAGGCCGTCTCTCCAGCCCAGCTTCATCCTCCTCGGAGTTTTCCGGGTCCTCGACTTACAAGCCCCGGCTGCTACCAGGGCCTCTCTGCTGACCASGCTCCCCTCCCCTCCAGCCCCGAGCCACTTCCCCGGCAACCTGACAGGTCCGACTGCCACCCGGCCGCGCAGCAACCCGGTCAGGCAGAGGGGCGCAGCCGGAGGGGATACATGCAGCCCAAGGGGTGTCACGCGCGAGGCCGAGCGCCACTCACCCGGCGCCAGGTACCAGATCCGGGATGSCCTGCGCGAGACGACGGGCGACGGCGACAAGCGCGGGGCTGCGGTCGGACAGTGGCGGCGCCGGCACTTCCTGCCTAGGGAGGCGGGGCGGAAGGCGCACCGGAAGGCGCGGCGGCTCCAACAGGGAGAGAGGGGTGCGGTCAGCGTCGCGCGCAGGACAGTGCGGGCCGGGGGTCCGGCGCGGCCCGGGGCTGCCGGGGCTGCCGGGGCTGAACGCACACAGCCCGGGTCCTAGTGGTCTCTTCCTTCCCTGTCCAGGTCTGTCGCGGCATGCCCCCGTGCGGCTGGGCGGCCACCCCGTGGCCCGCCCGCCTCCCCCGCCTTCCCGCGGCCGGTCCCCACCGCCCTTCCGCATTCCTGGCCGCGGGGCGGGGGCGAGGGGCAGGGCCCCGGGCACAGCGCTGGAATTTGACCTGCCTGGGCCTTGATCCGCCCAGTTTGGGGTCCCCGCAGGAAGCGGCCCACCCAGGGTTGACWGATTTAGCAAATTAAAGTACAGTTACCATAGTTCAATTTGAGTTTCTGATCRTTTTTAGGGTCTGTTCTATGCACTAAGAGAAGGTTCAAGAGGCACACTCCTGCTAGCTCTAGAATCCCTTAACTACATCCCAGCCCAAGGAAAGTCGTTTATGCCCTACTCCTTTCCTACCTTCAAAATAAAATTATTCTTAGTTAAATTCTATTTATTAATTTTTGCAGTGTTGGGGATCGCGCATGCTAGGACCTACCGTCAAATAATAAGGTGTATGGTCTTATCAGGCCACACAACTGTTTCATTCCTCCTTTTAAACATAACAAAGTTTTGTTTAAATTAAAATTATTACACACACACGTATAAACATATATACAATGCTCTTGGTCAACAAATGGAAAACGGGAAGCTACATAATTCAGGTTTTGTTCTAGATACTCTTTGTGGCTATAATCGTCAAGATAATAATTAAAGGAATAGCACTATTYCAAAACAATGGAGAATGGTCAGCCTAAGAGCCAATTTTTACTCAACTCTTTTTATTGTCTACACAGGTGCCAGATGCTGGGGAGATGAATAATTTGAATTATTTTTCCCTTAAGGAGTTTATATTCTAGAAGTCTATATCTTAAATCCTAGAAGGTAGGAATCATGTGTTCAGCACTCTACACAAGTAGTTCTTAAAACAGTAGCATGGAAAATAACCTGGAAARGCTGTTAAAAGTTTCTTGAGCCTCAAAATCCAGTATTATGATTCAGTGCCAGAAGTTGAGAATAATTTGCACTTCTGATCAGCACCCAGGTGATGCTGATGCTGTAAGTCACACCTGGTTCTAAACATTTAAATCTTCCTTAGCTGAAGTCTGCCCCTTGTTTGATAGTTTAAGTAACTGTCTTTACACTCATCAGATTTTGACTTCTTAGGTCTTTATCACAGAGCTCTTCCAAGTATGATCTATTACCTAGGGGTAGAGTACTTGTCCAACATGAACAAGGCCCTAGGTTGGGTTCCCAGCACCNTAGCTAAATCACCCTGACTATACTTTGGGTGCTACTGATCAAGCCTAGGGCTTCAAACTCTACCACTGAAGTATACTTCCTGCCTATACATTAACACAGAGCTCTTCCAAGTATGATCTATTACCTAGGGGTAGAGTTCCTGTCCAACATGAACAAGGCCCTAGGTTGGGTTCCCAGCACCCCCCCCAAAAAAAAAAAAAAACCCACAAAGGGCTGTTAGCCAAATATCGTCTATTACTACTTCATAAACATTTACCCTGGTAAATGTAAGCTCATAGCTAAATCACCCTGACTATACTTTGGGTGCTACTGATCAAGCCTAGGGCTTCAAACTCTACCACTGAAGTATACTTCCTGCCTATACATTAACTTTGAGCTCTGTATTTAAGTTTCTAAATTGTCCTAATCATCACTAACCACATGTTGCTATTTAAACTTAATGTAAAATTCGGTCCCTGTTATTTTAGATACATTTTAAGTGTGAAGATTATGTCCAAATGGCAACACAATCATAAGCAGGTGGATGGTGATCCTGCCACCTCTGGTTTGGTTTCATCAAAAGGGTTTTTTTGGGGGGGTGGTACTAGGGATGGAATCCAGGGGTGCTTTACCACTGAGCTATATCCCTAGCCACCACCCCTGCCTTTTAATGTTTTAAGACAGGACCTTGCTAAATTGCTGAGTCTGGCCTCAACTTGCAATCCTCCTGCCTCACCTGCTGAGTCACTGGCATTAGAGGCATGCCCCTGGATTATRAGAACTGTTGAAACAGTTTGTTTCAAGATAATTTTCACCATGAAAACATTTTAGGAACTGTYAAAGTCACTGTTAGTGAAAAGATGCTTTCAGCTTTTTATTGGCAATCACCCTGAATTAAGCAAAGCCCAGTTACTAAGCTGGCAGACTTATTTCATGCAGGCCAGATCATCCACTATTTCTAATATAGAGTGAGTCTTTGAACAGTTATCCAAAATGAAAATGGAGATACTGCAAGAGATAATTTTAGTAGTCCCCCGCCCCCAGAGGAAATAATGTTACTTATTCTTCACTGGAGATTTGTTAACTAAGCAGAGGTGATATTTTTTTCAAGATTTTAGCACAATGGCAATAGCTGGGCAAAAATACACTTTTTAAAATCCTGAATGAGATTCATTCAGAGAATTAAGGCAGATTCTATAATYCTAATCTTGAAGGGGAAAAAGACTAGTTATTACTAGTCTTCTATTAGTATTCTATATAGCTGTTTTTACCAGGTTAAAGGATCTCCCTTTCTGTCCTATTGAGTACAAAGGTCTGTTGCCCACAGGCATTCACTGTTCACTGAATGAGGTAATGGTTTTCTTCAAGGATAAAGCTTGTTAGTAGTARCATAAAAAGTTATTAGAGTAATTTTCAACTATTTATCTTGGTAGGGCAATTTTGACTGTTTTCACTCAACTCTCCTCCTCCTTCAAATCCTTTTAAACTCAAATCTTTCAGAGTTTTAACACTTTCAGATTTTTTACACTTAAAGAGAATGAAAGTCTTCCACTCCCTGATTAACTCTGAAACAGTCCTGTTTTTCTGCAAATACCAGAAGTTATTTTTAGGACTGAAACAATGACCTCACTTTCCCAGGCATGTAGCTTCAGCTGTTTTTGATTGTGGGCAGGTCAGGAATGTCTAAAATTCATAAATGGACTCATGATGAATCTCTGCATAAACAAACATGGTCTTTCAATTGGGGTTGCTATAGTAAAAAAAAAAAACCATATACAATAAAAAATACTATATTGTATTTTAAATAGCTTGAAATACAACACAGAAATCTGTCTTTTGATAAAAGCATTTCATAGACTCTCTTGAGCTAAAATAGTTTTTAAAAAATAGGACAAATGAAAATTATGCTCAGTGACCTAGTCTATTTTTAAATGACATAAAATAATGTACAAAAGCTTAGAAGATMAAGTGGGGACACATAAAACCAATACATCAAACTTAAGAACTGAAAGCTACTACAGTGTCACTATATACAAATTCTACAGGAAATCATTTTAAAAACTGGAAGACAAAGTGCAGGAAACCTGATTAGGGCAGTTAAAATTATACTTCCTTGGGAGGAGAAAATAAATGTAGAGAAGATAGGACTGTTAGGAAAACCGAAGRGAATACAAGAGGGGTCTGGCAAGCCTATCATTTTCTGGGATTTACCTCTTCCATCTTTCTTTGAAACATAAAACTAAAACTAACAAAATCCAATTTTGGTAAATAATAAGTTAAAACAAGTCAGTATTTTATCATAAAGTTTAATCATGGTTCAGAAAAAATTGAGTGAATAACTTTCTCTGAAAAAATATATTGACTCTGTGTAGACTGCAGTTATTGGGGGTGAGGGCAATGGTAACTTAAAATTACCCTATTTTCTATTCTGAAAATGACAAAAAGTCCCATTTCCAGTCTGATTATAAAGATACATGAGCCTCAAAATGGCTGAGAATAAATATAAAACAAGAAAGGCAAAAGCTGTAAAGCTAAAAGGCATGCAATAGGCTCTAAGAGAAAAATCTCAGAAATACCCAAAGTGGCAACAAGGAACATTTGGCTGGAATTTGAAGATCTTTTCAGTCATCTTTGTCTTTTGCTCCATGTTTAAGGATGCGAGTGAACTCAATGTAATTGAAATTCCCCTTTTTGTCAATAGGGGCTTCTCTGTACAGCTCATCCACTTCCTCATCTGTAAACCGATCACCCATGGTGGTCAGCAGCTCTCTCAGGTAATCCTCCTGAATGGTGCCTGGAAAATAAAGAACAGGGGATCAGAATACATACTACTGAGACAAATTACAAAGCCTATCTACACTTGACTACACATACTGTTTTAAGTTAAGAAACTGTAAACACACAAATAAATTAGATATGGGGTTTCCATCTGCTTTTGGCAACCTCAGCAGACAGGTGCCTAGAAAAATATCCGGCTGCTTCGCAGCACTGCTCTATTAACCTGCCTCCACATCCTTCTTCTGACCTCTTTATAATAGAAACTAAACCTATGCCCAAACAAAAGTAATATGGTGTGACTAATGAAACTAGGCCTCATGGCTCCTTGAAATGGCATGAATGGTCATGCCTATGCTACAAGCAAATAGCGGTCACCTGCCACATTAAAATCAATACCGTATCATGAATATCAATAAAAATACTTTAGTTGAAAGAATAGTGGAGTCCTAAAGCCCWGTTTAACAAGCTATATTATTTCAGGTATTACACTTTACCTCTTTGGTTTTCTCACATGTGAAAGGAAAATTTTAATGTTTACAAATCTAACTTATAATGATAAAAAACATGGCCAAGCCTAGAATGTGCAAAAACATGGAATAAATACTGGTGCATAAAGTATGTCACTGACCCTGTGTTAGGTAATTGGGATGTGAAGGGTGAGCTGAAAGGTATGTTTTTTTACTCTGGGTTTTGTATATGTGTGTGTGCACGTGCACATACCCACTTTKGGGGGGTTGAACCCAGAGATGCTCTATCTCTGAGCTACAACCCCAGCCTTTTGTTTTTTATTTTGAGACAGGGTTTTCCTATGTTGCAGAGGTCTGCCTCAAACTTGTGATCCTTCTGCCTCAGACCCYCCAAGTAGCTGGGATTACAGGCATGTGCCATCATGCCCAGTTACTTGTGGGTTTTTGATACAAAGGTTTTCATAAAACCTGCCTGCCAGCTGGGCATAGTATCTATAGTTTCAGCTACTCAGAAGACTAGGGCAGGAGGACTGTGAGTTTAAGGTTAGTTTGAGCAACATAGACTCTTAAGAAAGACAGACAGACTTTGCCTGCCAAAAACAATAAATATATAAATACTTGTAAATATAAAACACAGAAACAAATTCCCAAATGTCACCTATGATTTACTTTCTTATATTGGCATTATTTTGGAATTTTAGCTTTGTGGAAATAAATTCTCATTTCCAGTCAAGTCATTCAACTATTCCATAACTAATTATCTACTGTGTGCAAGGGCTACAAAGATGGGAATGAAATACTTTTTAAGACAAAGAGCAACTACTCTGGAAGTGGGAAGAAATTGTAATTATTGGGAACAAGCACACAACTAAAATATAAAGTCAAATAGTGTGTGTGCCACAAAAGAGATACAGATACGTACAAGGAATGGAGAAGCTTTTTGCTTTCCTGGGAGCCAGGAAAAAATAGTAAGAAATCACAGGCAAGGCTCCATAAAGGATGAGACCATTGAGATGGGTATGAAAAACACATAAAACCTTTTCTTCTTTTACAATTTTTTATCCTTCCATTAAAAAAGTAGAAACTGCTCACAATAAATTCAAACAATACAYGGGTGTCTTCAGGAGTCAAAAAGGTAAGCCTCCTCTGCCTACATTCTTCCTACATTCTACTCCTTCCAGAAATAAATTAAGAATCTTCATTGAAAATGCAGAAAGAAGAGGTGGTATGGTAAGAAAGGCAGAGGAAGAAATGATGAAAGTCAGCATAACAAAGCATAAATGTGTTTGGAAAGAAGTTAGGGAGACAATACAAGAGTGGAGGTGCCTTGAGAAGGCAGAAAGCAACCATACTGTGGGGAGCCTTGGAAGCCAGAGTAAGGAGACAATGCTGGCATCAGCAGGCCCAGACCACACCCAGCACTGAAACTAGTCTAAGCAATGTTCCTCCTCCATGAGTTGGGAATCTTGGAAAATATTCTCTTTGTGTTTTGTCTTATATGTACTTCTGCCAAAGGATCAAACATTTATGTAATTAAAGTGTTGTTTTTGTGAGAGTCAACTCTATACTAGTCAGTGTGCACACTGTCCTATTTCCTCATTTAGTCCTCACAMCCACCCTATGAGGTAGGTAATATTAATGCCCATTTCAAAAAAAAAGAAAACCAAGACCAGGGTTGTCGCTCAGTGGTGGAGTGCTTGCCTAGCATGTGTGAGGCACTGGGTTTAATCCCTGGCACCACATAAAAATAAACAAATAAAATAAAGTTATTGTGTCCATCTACAACTAAGAAAACATTTAAAAAGAAAAAGAAAGAAAACCAAGGCTTAGAGAAGCTAAGTAGATGGCACAAAATTACACAGCTATTGTGTGTTGCAGAAGAGGAACCTGAAATCCAGTAGTCTGATTCCAGAGCATAAACTCTGCTTGGTTTATTTTATTTTATTTTTTTTTATATTTATTTTTTAGTTTTCAGCGGACACAACATCTTTGTTGGTATGTGGTGCTGAGGATCGAACCCGGGCCGCACGCATGCCAGACAAGCGTGCTACCGCTGAGCCACATCCCCAGCCCATTTTTTTAAAAAAGAGGTTAGCAGATTTAAAAAATTTTAGAGTTCAGAGATCCCTGGTAAGCAAACAGGTTTCTACTGGTGCCATAGACTGTGGCAAATACATACTTTACACAAGATTGTTCTCACCAAAGTTACTCATTCTACACATATCTGCGGGGAACCTAACCCTCTGGAATTAACATTTTAGTAAGAGGTAACCCAAGTTTCCCAAAGATATCTCAAATACAACCTACAAAATTTATAAATTACTAATATTTAAGGAAAGAGAGTATAATAAGTGATAAAGGCACTCCARGAAAACCCTGTTCAAAAAAGTAGGGGTAGTATAAACCTAAAAGTTTTATCACATTTTAGGTTATTTTATATATCAGGTATTATAATTAAAAATCAAATCACTTTGTAATTAAAGATTRCCTCTGACTTACCAGTAGCTTCTTCATCAAAGCAAGCAAAAGCATTTCTGATGACATCTTCGGGATCTGTGCCATTTAACTTCTCACCAAACATGGTGAGGAACATGGTGAAATTGATGGGTCCTGGAGCCTCATTCATCATGGCATCCAGGTATTCATCAGTGGGATTCTTCCCTAAACAACAAAAATAAAAAGAAGAGAGGATCATAATTTCAAGTATACTATGAAGCATATCAGCTATTAATCATAGTAAACAT